CGAGGTAACAGCTATTAAAAAATAATATTTCGCCATTTTGGTATATTTCATAAATATAAATCTCTTCTCGTACGTATTATAATTGTCGACGATGAAATTATCTTCTAATTCGATTAACAAGTCTCCTAATGATTGTCTGTTAATCCAGCATGTAGATATTTTCGTTAGAGTCATTAGAAGTAAAATATTTTCCGTGAATATTGACATTATATCTCCGAGATTATGTTTACGATGTGTCAATTCGGCGAATGTTAATGAACAATGTAAGAGAAGATAAATAAAAAAAAAGAGAAAAAGAGCATTAGAAATTTCGAGAGGCCAAATTCCAACATATTTCAGTAACAGTCTGTTCCATAGTAATGACTTCATTGCTTCGGTTACATCGATTGTCTGTAATAATAATAATAATAATAATAATAATAATAATAATAATAATAATAATAATAATAATAAATATATATATAAAAATTAGTAAATAATTTTAATAAATTAAATAAGATATAATAAAATATTAGAAATGAAACAAGGAACATTATTTCGTAATTAATATCTAAACAAAACAAAAAAAATTATATAATAATAATGATTTCGTTTATACGATAAAATCGATAGTTTGTAATAATAAATAAATAAATAAATAAAAATATATATTTATTAAATATTTATAATATATAATCGTGAATTATTAATTGAACGAAGATATTATGTTCTTTCTCTTCTTAAAGAACATTTTTTAAAAAATTTTGTCTAGTATCGAAAATTTTTCGTAGCAAAAAAAAAAGAAAAATTACGTAGAACGATACCAATGATATCAATGATTTGACAAAATCGATAGCTTTTAATTACAATTATAATAAATATTTTTTATTATATATTAATATATTAAATATTAATTTTGAAATATTTTAATCGGTTTTCTTGTCTTAAAAAATATTATGTATACGTGTATATTAATTTTCATTAATACATTATAATACTAATTTTGTGGATTTTATTAATAATTTTATTAAGAAAAAAAAAAAAAGAGAAGAGAAAAATAAAGAAGAAGAAACAATTTATATTTTTGAAATTACGATTAGGTATAATAATTAGTTATATATTGTATACATAATTAATATAAGTATACGCATACATATATGCAAATGTTATCAATGATACGATTTATCATATTTGTTGTCAAATAATTTTTTAAAATAAAAAATATTATCAAAAAATGTAAAGGTATTTTTTTTCTTTAGTGTAGAATTAAAAAAAAAAATACATATATATATATATATTTCTTTTTTAATTTATAAAAAGAATATATATATTTATATATTCTTTTTTTTTAACGAAGAATTGATTAATTTCTGAAAATAAAAAAAAAACATTTTCCAGAAATGATAAAAAATAATTCACAAAGACATTTTTTCTCTGTAATGTAAAATTTAAAAGAAAAAAAAAATTCTTTCAATGAAGGATTGATTAATCCTTGTGATATAAACTCTCAGTATGATTAATAAATATTATCGTCACTTTTAATTAATATCAAGTAAAATATTTCAGTAATTTAAATCAAATATATCTCTTCGATTCATTTTCCATTTTACCAATTTGTAGAAAATAATTAATAAAAAAAAAAAAAAAAAAAAAAAAAAGAAAGGTATCATTAAAACTTAAAGAGACAGAAAAGTTTACGAAATTATATTATGATACAAAATATACCAATTTAATTATTATACAAATGCAATAAGAAGAAAATAAATCAAAAAGAAAAGTATTACTGTAAGAAATTTTATAATAATTATATCCATTAATATGATAATATACAAAAAATTATTTGACAATAAAAACAATGAATAAGGATTACAAATAACCTAGAACTCTAATCTGAAAAAATAGAGTTCAGGAGATAAAAAAAAAAGATTATCATCAAGAAACTTATTGATACGAAAAAAGAAAAGAAATTTTATTAATATGGCGATCTAAAAAAAAAAAGAAATAAAATAAACAACCATTACAATAAAATTCCAAAATCAATGCGATCAATTTTAATTAAATACAATTTATTAAAATCAAAATTAAAGAAAACAAAAAATTCTTATGAGATTAATGTCATTCCAATGTCATCGTATTAATAAGAAAAACCAATATATTAATAATATGCCATCGTACGATAGAAAAAAAGAAAAGAAAAAGAAAACGAAAAAAAAAGTATACAAAAAAAATATAAATAAAATGTAAACAATATGTACGTGCGATTTCAAAATTACACATTGCACTAGATATAACAGTGTAACGAAAGAAAATATTATCCATGCTTACTTCTATTTTTTTCCCCATGTTATCACTTTGAAGGTTCACAACTGACTGACAGTAAAACGGTCGATCAACCTCCGTTGTAAACTTTTTTTTTTCTTTTTCTTTTCTTTTCTTTTTTTTTTTTTTTTTTTTGAAGAAAAAAAAAGGGGTTACAAATGCACGTTTGAATAATATAGTCAGCCAGGAGAAAAAGAAAAAATGAAGAAAGTTTGTCCGTAACATTAGACGAGGAAAAAACGTATTTTAGAGAATTAATCGATTAACTGTATCTCGTTGATACGAGGGGTTGACGATCTAACGATAAAATATTTATTCAACTTTACCCGATGTGCCTCGGAAAACATTTAGTGACTATCTCTATAAAAAAAAAAAAAAAAAAAAAAAAAAAAAAAAAAAAAAAAAACTTTATTGTTACAACTCTCATTCGCACGACGTTTTCTCTTCCGTTTTTTTTTCTTTTTTTCTTTACATCCGTTTATTCGCTCGTACAGGGATCATTGATATTCGTCGTTGCGAAAGAAAGTTTCATGTAAAGTAACTTTTCCATTGGACTGTTAGAATGACGAAGATAAAGACCTTTTACCGAGTTTACCATCTCCTTCTAATAAGTTATATCCTGTTTCCTCGTTAGATTCAAAGTTTCTTCTTTTTATGATTGTTCGTCATAAGTATAATATCGTACGAATCAAGAGACATTATCACAATCTTTGTTTCATTGTGATCTTTACGAAAGTATTAATTGTACAATCCGTACGATTGAAACGTATTCGTTGTGCTTAATTAATAAAAAAAATTTGCTCTAATAAAATTTGTAAAATATATACTTACATACTTTGTGCTTCGAATCGAAATGTAATTTACATCGATAGTGAAATTCAATCGACAGTAGCGTCGATAATCGACTGTCATCACAGAGATATACTTTGTACCAGGTCGACAATGTAATTCGTATGATAAGGTCATCCAAAATTCGACGAATCTGTCGAATTAATTGCTTTACGATTTGAATAATCGTCTCCCACGAAATCTTTGCTTCATATACGTTTAGAAATTTTTTTTTTACGTGAATTAGCATCGGACGATTGCAACGGCCATTGCAATCGATTGACGAATCAGATTTCACTTTCCAGACGATACAGATTCGGCTCCCGATTTTCCGGTTCATTGTCCTCCTGTAAAATGCAATCTTCATTTTTCTCGGAAAAAAGAACTACCAATGATTAACGGATGCCGACTATGGCATTTCTTTTCTTTCCTTATTTTTGTAATTTTTCAACATTTTTTTCGCCACTCGTAACGCTCATAAACAAGTACAAGCTTATGACAATTTTCGCTTACGTGCGACGATCCGATTAATCATCGATTTGTTCTCTATATCTTCGTAACGTTCTAATCATTTTCTAACGAATGCTCTTGACTCACCCGTATATCCTAGCGCGACGATTGTTTCGGACATTTTCGTGCCTCGTTCGGTGTTTAGAATGAAACTTAGGTTCAAAATGTGACGCATATGGTGCATTTAATGATGATAATCGAAATTACGATTACAGACAATGTTGTTTATTATCGAAAGTTCGAGAAAAAAGCTGAAATATTCTTCGAGATGCATTAAGAGGAATGATGTAGTTTACTAATTCACGTTTGAATTAGAAACATAGCTGTTATTAGGCGTGTGTTTGTTAAGTCTATAAATTTATTATATGACAAACTGTATATCCTTTATTTTTCTCCATGATGAAATAATATTAATTAGCTTTAATATCGTCTTTCATTTTATATTAACAATTTACTGATAAATTAAAACATTAATTATTTTTTACATTACTTTTTATCAATTCAATTATAATTTAATTTTTATAAAACTAATAAAATTTTACAAATGAAAGTATTTGTTTCCGAATGACTGCTACAAATAATTATTTTCATTTGGAAAATCCGTTTAATATTATCATATTAAAAATAGATTATTATAATCATAAACACGGCACGGTGTTCTCTTCAATGAAATTAAATTAAATTCCTCTAAATTGTCAGATTGTTAGTGATGATTTGGACACATTGTATATTAAAAAAACGTATGTACGATAGAATCGAATTTTGTCCAAGTATTTTAACATTAAATAAAAAAAATTTTTCTTTTTCTTTAAAATAACTAAATATGTTTTTTTACATTATTATTGATAATACAAAAATAATAATTTTGAATTTGTTTAATGTATATAATTTTTACTATATTCAAATATGATTCTAATTTTAAATATATATATCTATTTAATTTAAAAATTATTATAAATCGAACATTTGGTAAAAAAATGTAATTATATCGAGTTTTACAAAATATTTGATTTATAATAATTATATATATAAAATAATTAAAATTATTATATAATTATATATATATATATATATATATATATATATATATATATATATTGGTTTTTATTCCATTAATATTAAAAAAAAAAAAAAGGAAGATAATAAAGTAAACAAAATGAAAAGTTAGTCTAAAGGTAATAATTTCAGTCAAATATATTCATATAAATAACAAATATATAATCTATAACGTTTATCTTATAAATAGTTATTTAAATAAAATGATTCTATGATAATTTATTACATACAATATGTTTTATCTTCTTATCAAAATGTCAATAATAATATTTCAATAATAATTATTCAAGACTAATTTACAATTCTGTTTACATAAATGTTCGTAATACTGATAAATATGCCATTGATGTCTTCATTATCTAGAAAATTTACAAGAAATTGACAAATCATTTCAATCTTTATAAACGTTTTAACAATCGAAAATATTTTAACTTAAAATTCAGTGAAATAAATAAATAAATACGATCAACGAATGAAACAAACAAACAAACAAAAATTACTAATCATAGATAAAAGAAAATATTAAGGAGAACATTTCAATTCGTTCAACGATGATATATTATTAAATAAAAAATCATTACAATGGCAAGTAAATAAAAATAAAAATTTCGAAAGAAAATCGAAACTTGTCAAACGCAAATTATACTTAAAAAAAAAAAAAAAAAAAAAAAAAAAAAAAAAAAAAAAAAAAAAAAAAAAAGAAGAAAAAATTCACGCAAGAAAATGACAAAAGTAAAATATAAGGGAAATAGCAAAATACAAATAAAAAGTAAAATAAAAGAAAGGGAAAAAGCAATTAACGAGAAAAGTCAAATTAAAAAATAAAAAAGATAAAAATAAAGGGAAGAAAAATCTTGCGTGATGCGAATGATAGATTAAAGAAGAAAAAAAGAAGAAGAAGAAGAAGATGAAGAAGAAAAAAAGAAAAAGCAGAAATATTAACAATAACGACTCACATCGGTAAAAGTGCGTAAGGAAACAATGCAAAACTTCGCGCAAGTCAATCGTAGTGGTTTTCTAGCACGCATCATGCATATATAAATCGATTTCATATCGATCGTTGATAACTCGTACCAGTCGCAATGATAAAGCGCCTCGCACAAGTTCGTGCTCTGGATTGAAGAAAGAAAACAAAAAGGAAAAGAAAAAAAAAAAAAGGAAAAAAAAGAAACAAAAAAAAGAAAGAAACAAGATCGCATCAATAAACGATCGAATGAAATTAAAGATCGAATTGCAATTCAATTAATAATACGATTAATTACTTCCTCGATGAGACATTCACCGATGTAACAATAAGTGAACAATGTGCTCGATAAAACGAAAACGTATATAGCAAACGTTAATATACCGATTCCTTCTAATACAGCTAAACTCTACAAAATTAGAAATTATTTATTAAACGATTTAGAATGCAACATTTGTATAGAGTGATGTATACGTACGGAAAGTATTTGATAACTTGACATACAAATTTGAATAGTTGTACTTAATAATTGTTGACAAATGACGATGTTAAAACTATCCTCTAATATATCCGCTAATCTGAAACAAATACGAAGAAGATAAATTATTTGTTTTCATTTTTTTTTTCATAATGACATCTTTCTCATATTAAAAGAAACAAAAAATTTCTTCTTCCCTTCAAGTGATATTAATTGATATTAAAAATGTATGAAATTTATGTTATTTTTATTTTTGCCAAGGAAAAATTTCTTCAAGGTTTTAAAACGATTATTTCGAAATTTTTCTGCTGAAAAATCAAATCTTAATAATTCGTTGTAATCGAAGAAACGTATTCGAACAAAACTTCATTCGATTTTAAATCTAAAATAATCTGACTAAAACGTGACTTTAAGGGATTAAAACGACCGTCTTGAATTTTATTTTTCGTGATAAAAAGCTAAATTGATATAAAAAAAAAAAAAACCGAAAAGATATATTTTCATACACACAATGAAATTATATTAAATTTATATTAATTAAGACGTAAAATGTATTTGTTTCATTCTAAATGTTAGAGCAAATATGGCATCGTTGAAAAAATTTTTCGACTTTTTCGCATGTCTACGACGAAATCATAATCATTGAAATTTTTCTTGCAATTAAAATGTTTACAATCTCATTAAAGAAAATCAACATTATAAATTTATTATAAACAATCCCCGTTAGGGAACAAAACTATTTTGTCGTAACGAAATTGTAGCGAAATTTTTAAGAAAAAAAAAAAAAATATTATCAAAAAAATTCATATACTAAAAATATTAAAACAATCGGCATCTCATAAGACGTATCCATCAACGCATTTGAATCGTTCAAAAAGAAAAAAAAAAAAGATTTCATTCATTAGACGTTCCTTAAGAATTAAATGACTTTATTAGAAAAGTGACGTCACCTTATCAAACTATGATGTCGAAGTATCATTTTATGAATTCCATATCGAGAACCATCAATATCCTTTAAAATTTCTTTTACTCTACATCTCAATATTGCTAATTGACCAATAAGATGAAAACCAATAGAAGCCAATAAACAATCAGTACCACTATTAGCGGAAATGACCATTAATATACGTAAAAATTCATGTATGCAACCAAATGCATAAGTTTTTGCATCGTACGGCTTCAGCAATGGCTTTATTTTGTAAGGTAATTTATATTCCGACGTAGAATTTGTCATAACTGCATCGAAACAAAATACGTAATTTAATAAAATCATTCGTCAATTTTTAAATGACATTTTTGAAAAAAAAAAATTGTTCAAATGACAAATATTAATCAAATATTTCAATAAATCTCGAGATAACTAAGAAAATGTTTCAGACCAAAAGTTAATTCTTTCATTACATAAATTACAGTGCCGTTAGAAAAAATATAAGTTCTTAATTGAAAAAAGAGAGTTTTACTTGAAAAAATCTTTGAAGTTTTTCGTTAAATAAAATACAATTAATACGATAATGTTTCTCTGTATCTCTCTCTTTGAAAGCAGATAACTCTTGCCAGAAAAAAAAATATATATATATATGTATCTATTAAAATTTTGTCCATTATTTCGCTAAAACGGAATATTTTAAATGTCTTCTATAAATGAATATAATAAAAATGTTAAAAATGTTTGTAATACCATTAATTATACCCGGTATGACAGTTTTACAATAATACAAAAGAATTATGAAGGTCATCGATGGTAACATAGTCATAATAAATATATAGGAAAAATTGTTATATTTCATAAAAATCAATCTCTCCTCTTTGGTTTTATAATTATCGACGTTGTAATCGTTTTCTGTTTCTGTCAAAAATCTTGACAATGATCGACATTTCATTCGGCACATTCCAAATTTCGTCAGTGTCATTATCATCAGCATGTTCTCGATAATGTTTGTCAGTACATAATGAAAATCATTGATGTAATCAATCAAATCGAGAAGTCCTAGAAAACTGTAAAGGCAACCATAAAATAGAAACAGTAGGAACAACGAGTTCCGAATTTCCAATGGCCAAACTCCAGAAAAACTGAGCAATCGTTTGCTCCATGTTAGCGCTTTCATGGTATTGGTGAAACCTGTAATCTTGAAAAAGATAATGCAAAACAATAATGTTTCGATTAAATAGTATAGTATGAAATTGGGTGATCGAAAATGTCCCTAGATAGTAAAATAACGAGCCTAAATTTTGTCTCGAAAGAATATTATTCGATTGGCAAATAGATTGTTACCCAATGTCACAATTTTTAATACAAATATGGACCCAAAAGTATCTCTATGATTTCGATAATCAATTATTCCTTTTCGAGATTTATAGAAGCTAATGGTTTTCTTTCAGACCATCCAGAAATTCATAGGCTTTGTAGTTTTACATTAAGAAAGAAAAAATTAATACAAAAAAGTCTAATTAAAGTATATTTATTGATTTTCAAAATCAACTAGAGATTTTTTTGCTCCACCCTATATTAAATATTACAATGTTACTTATTGGCCAATTCAATAATTGTGATTTTTAAATCATCCAGAAATTTTTGATCCATCTGTTGGCCATCATGTATAATAAAAAAAAATTACGATAAATCTATCGCCGATGAATTTTCGTAATTCGTTATATCTTATTCATTAAAAAACAAAAACAAAAAAGTTAAAAAGAAATATGTCAAAAAAATATTAACGTTAAAAAGATTATAAAATTATAATCTAAAAATTTAATAAACATAAACGATTAATAAGATGCGAATATAGTAGGATTAATTAAAAATAAAAATAAGAAAAAATGTGTAATCCATATAATCAATATTATCGCTTTTAAGAAATTAAAAATATTTTTTAAATAATATTATCGTAATTAATACACAATGAAAAAAAAAAAGCCTACACGAAGTTTAAACTTTTCATGTATTTAAAATTATAATAAATAAATTTAAAATTATTAAATGTCACTGCGTTTCGCTGAATTATTGATTAAATTCTTTACGGGTTAAAATTTCACTCCTAATGTTCATTAAAAAAAGTCATTGTCACGGTCAACACAATTAAAAATATTAGTTTCATCAAGTTAAATCTTTTTTTTTAAATGTCAGTAAACTTATATGTAAAAATATTCTTTTGTACATATAATCAAAACACATTAAGAGATACACATATACATATATATTCATACGAGTATATAAATATTATATATATATATATATATGTATATAATAATTTAAAGATCAATTTTTTAACATTAAAAGATTAATATATTGACTGCCATAGTATTTTCATACTTGATCACAAAAAGTCACAATAGAATTATCACAATTGAAATAAATTTAATAAAATAATTAATTATTATGCGACCAATAATTAAATAAAATTACACTCTTATCTCTGTAAACTTTCAACGACATGTGGTTGCACTTATAAATCCATAAGTTGACTAAAATCGTAAAAATAATAGCACAAGTACTAAACAAAGTTACACAAAAAAAAAAATAATAACAAAACACAAATATTGCATTAATTCACACCAGTCATAAAATTTAATTTCTGTTCTATATGTTGGTTAACTTGTGAATCATTAAAGATCAAAGTAGTCACTAATAATCGAAATATTAATTATTACTTATATTATAAAAAAAAAAAAAGAAAAACTAAAAATAAATATTAATTCGTCACACATTCGTTTTGATAAATTAATAATAGAAATGATAATTTTTAATAAATATTCTTAATAGTTTCACAAATCACTAATGCAGTTTTTCTATTCATTTGTATAATTAGAAAATAATTTTATTCAATTTCACTTGACATATAGATTAATTGATTCTCGAATTAATAAGAAATTGTTACACCATGAAGTCACTAAGAAATTAATTAACAGTGACATGAAATAACACTGTGGCAATCAATTTGTCAAAAAATTTTCGAAAAAAAAATTACGCTTATTTGAAATCACGATGATAATTAAAAGAAGAAAAATATTTAAAAGAAAAAAAAAACAAAAGATCGTTCAGATTGCGTTTTAAAAAAAAATTCACGATATTTTTTCGAAATCTCAATAGTTAGAAAAATGCGAAGAAAAAAGAAAAGAAAGGATTGCGATTTTTTGAAACCGTTACAATGGCTTTTTCAAGAGAGTCGAAACAAATTCACTCGGGACGATTATTGTCACAAAACGTCGCACTCGTCAAACGAACTGGCAATTAACAATAAAAAAAAAAATAATAATAATAATAAAAATAAATCGACGTTATCACCGTACTTCTTTGGTTCTTTCCATTTTGCTCGCTCGAAGGTCACCGGCCGACTGTTCGTCCAAGCACGAACTACTCCCGACGTAAACTACGTACGAAAAGGGGTTGAAATTGGTTGGCTGAATAGTTCATGCGATTAACGAAAAAAAAAAAAAGAAAAGAAAAGAAAATGTGAATACGAGTCAGTTTTTGCGTCCGTTTCGAACTGTATAGAAGGTACGGACCAAAAAAAAAAAAAAAAAAGAAATGAAAAGGGGTGAGTCGTCAACGGACGAAGTCGACTCAACAATAATCGATCAACATTTGGCAGACGGTGTTTTGCATTAATCATTTTTATCTACCCCTTTCTCTAAGTACAATATACCTTGTCTACTCTTTTTTTTTTGGGACTCTATATCCGTCGAAAGTTTCTACGTAACGCCCTCGTGAATATTTTTCCAGCAAAAAGGGAAACAGCGTGGCTCAGTATTATTACGGAATAGAAAAAAAAAAAAATTAAAGGTTATCCAAGTTTTTAAGTAGTTGAATTCTACCCTTCCACGAGTCTTCTTCTTGTCAGTTATCTTCTAATCGATCGTTATAAGGTGTACAAAAAAATATGCTACTGCATCGGACGCTATTAGAATGGAATTGTTGAAGATCATTGGGGTTGTTTCTGAAAATAACAAAAATTATTAATAAATGCAATTTGTATATAGGACATTTTCATGTGACAAAAATGATTAATTACAAGCGTAAAGGACTTACTGAAATTATTATTTACCCAAGTGAATTTTGTTTTATTATGCCAAAGAATGTAACTTTAAAATGTTATGTTACTCGAGAGATCGATTACGGTGAAAATGCATAATTGATTAATAATTATCGATGACAATAAACTGAACGTTTAAGTTTATTATTTCTTACGTTAAAAGAAACACGTACACAAATACAATCATATGCAACATCAATAGTACATATACTCATATGCATACGTTCATATTTATTCTCAGTCATCAATAATATGAAAATTAATAATCTGTATATAATATATATTGGATATCATAGGTATGTATATAGATGTTTTGATATTTTAAACTATATTTAAACTAATATTAAAATATAAAATTATTATATATATATATATAAATCCTGATTTAAAAAATTTTAATTTATAATAATTTTTAAATTAAATTTATATAAGTAAAATTGAAATTATATTTAAATATAATATATATTTAATACGAGTATATATTCAAATATAATTAGAATTACATATGTTACACAAATTATAATTTTTGTGACATCGATAATTATGTAAAAAAAAAAAAAACAAAAAAATATTTAAATAAAAAAACAATTTTATGCTAATGCAGAAAAATTTCTAGTAAGGTAAAAAAAAAAAAAGTGAAAGATTAGACTAAAAATTAGTTTGAGTCAAATATATTCATATAAATAACAAATATATCATCCATAATATTTATCCTATCTATGCTCATCTAAATAACATATTTGTATTTTCATTTATTACATGCAACATATTCAAAAGTTTTATCAAAATTTCAATAATAATATTCTAGTTATTATTATTCAAGACTAATTATTTCATAATTTTGTCTCCATAAACGTTCGTAATACTGATAGGTACGCCATTGATGTCTTCATTACCTGCAAAATTTACAAAATTTAACAAATCATTTGTATCCCGAAGTGTATAAATTATCGAGAAAAAAAAAGAAAAAAAAAATGCGAAATAAAAATTCAGAAAACTAATAAAAAAGAAGGTGAAAAAAAGAAACGTTCAACGACATATGATACTTCTTTGTAAAAATAAAACGAACAAAAAATATAAATGATATGAAAAAAAAAAAAAAAAATACTAATAAGAACATTTCATCTCGATGAATGTTGAAAAGTTAATAAATAAAAACGCGATCAATGACAAACGAATAAAAATAAAAACTACTATAAAAAAAAGGAAAAAAAAAAAAAAAAAAAATCTTGTGAAAAGCGAATCATGAATTAGAAGAAAAAAAAAAAAAAAAAAAAAAAAAAAGAAAACAAAAGATTGGCGGAAGAGAATGACGAAATTAAAATATAAGGAAAGAATAAAAGGACAATTAACGAGATGCCGATTGAAATAAAATAATTTAAAAATAAAGAAAAACAAAATCTTACCTAATCTGTATGACATATTAAAAAAAAAAAAGAAAAAAAAAAAAAAAAGAAAAAAAGAAAAATATAATATTAACAATAATGACTTACGATGGTAAAAGTGCGCAAGGAAACGACGCAAAATTTCGCGCAAGTCAATTGCAATGGTTTCCTAGAGCGAATCATGCAAATGTAAATCGATTTCATATCGATCATCGATAACTCGTACCAGTCGCAGTGATAAAGCGCCAGGCATAAGTTCGTGCTCTGGATTAAAAGAAAGAAAATAATAAAAAAAAAAAAAAAAAAAAAGAAAAAAAAACGAAATAAAATAGAATTAATAAACGATTGTATCTAAATACGGATTGAATTGCAATTCAATTAATAATACGATTAATTACTTCCTCGATGAGACATTCACCGATGTAACAATAAATGAACAACGTACTCAACAAAACAAAAATGTGTAGACCAAAAATTACTATACCGATTCCTTCTAATACAGCTAAACTCTACAAAATTAAAAATTATTCATCAGACGATGTAGAATGCAACATTTGTATTAGAATGATGTGTACGTACGGAGAGTATTTGATAACTCGATATACAAATTTGTATAGTTGTACCTAATAATTGTTGGCAAATGACGATGTTAAAACTATCCTCTAATATATCCGCTAATCTGAAACAAATACGAAGAAGATAAATTATTTGTTTTCATTTTTTTTTTTCATAATGACATCTTTCTCATACTAAAAGAAACAAAAAGTTTCTTCTTTCCTTCAAGTGATATTAATTGATATTAAAAATGTATGAAATTTATGTTATTTTTATTTTTGCCAAGGAAAAATTTCTTCAAGGTTTTAAAACGATCATTTCGAAATTTTTCTGGTGAAAAATCAAATCTTAATAATTCGTTGTAATCGAAGAAACGTATTCGAACAAAACTTCATTCGATTTTAAATCTAAAATAATCTGACTAAAAAGTGACTTTAAGGGATTAAAACGATCGTCTTGAATTTTATTTTTCGTGATAAAAAGCTAAATTGATATAAAAAAAACAAAAAGATATATTTTTATGAACACAATGAAATTATATTAAATTTATATTAATTAAGACGTAAAATATATTTGTTTCATTTTGAATGTTAGAGCAAATATGGCATCGTTGAAAAAATTTTTCGACTTTTTACTTTCGCATAAGTCCATGACAAAAACCTTTGATCTTTGAAATTTTTCTTGTAATTTAAACCACTTAAGATATCATTAATAAATACCTATATTATTATAAACAATTTCGCTAGAGAACAAAACTATAAAATTTTGTCGTAACACAATTGTAATAAAATTGTAAGGAATGGAGGAAAAATTTTTGAAAAGTTCATATCTCAAAAATATACCCAAAAGAACTGCAAGACTCGCGATTCATAGCGATCGACGTATTTGAATCGATTAAAAAGAAAAAAAAAAAAAAAAAAAGATTTCATTCATTAGACGTTCCTTTAAGAATTAGATGATTTAATTAGAAAAGTGACGTCACCTTATCAAACGATGATGTCGAAGAATTATCTTATGAATTCCTTGCTGAGAAACATCCTTTAAAATTTCCTTCGCTCTACAGTTTAGTATTGCCAATTGACCGGTAAGATGAAAACCGGTAGAAGCCAATAAACAATCAGTACCACTATTAGCGGAAATGACTATTAATATACGTAAAAATTCATGTATGCAACCAAATGCATAAGTTTTTGCATCGTACGGCTTCAGCAATGGCTTTATTTTGTAAGGTAATTTATATTCCGACGTAGAATTTGTCATAACTGCATCGAAACAAAATATGTAATTTAATAAAATCATTCGTCAATTTTTAAATGACATTTTTGAAAAAAAAAATTGTTCAAATGACAAATATTAATCAAATATTTCAATAAATCTCGAGATAACTAAGAAAATGTTTCAGACCAAAAGTTAATTCTTTCATTACATGAATTACAGTGCCGTTAGAAAAAATATAAGTTCTTAATTGAAAAAAGAGAGTTTTACTTGAAAAAATCTTTGAAGTTTTTCGTTAAATAAAATACAATTAATACGATAATGTTTCTCTGTCTCTCTCTCTCTTTGAAAGCAGATAACTCTTGCCAGAAAAAAAAATATATATATATATATCTATTAAAATTTTGTCCATTATTTCACTAAAACGGAATATTTTAAATGTCTTCTATAAATGAATATAATAAAAATGTTAAAAATATTTGTAATACCATTAATTATACCCGGTATGACAGTTTTACAATAATACGAAAGAATAACGAAGGTTATCGATGGGAACGCAGTGATGATAAATATATAGGCAAATTTGTTATATTTTATAAAAATCAATCTCTCCTCTTTGGTTTTATAATTATCAACGTTATAATCATTTTCCGTTTCAGTCAAAAATCTTGATAATGATCCATGCTTCAATCGGCATAACCCAAATTTCATCAGTGTCATTAAAATTAGCAAATTCTCCATAATATTTGTCAATACGTATTGAAAATCATTGATGTAATCGATCAAATCAAGAATTCCTAAAAAAATGTAAATACAACCGTAAAATAGTAATGGTAGGAACAAAGTGTCCCGAATTTCCAATGGCCAAACACCTGAAAAACCGAGCAAGCGTTTGCACCATGTTATCGCTTTCATGGTATTGGTGAAACCTGTAATCTTGAAAAAGATAATGCAAAACAATAATGTTTCGATTAAATAGTATAGTACGAAATTGGGTGATCGAAAATGTCCCTAGATTGCAAAATAACGAACCTAAATTTTGTCTCGAAAGAATATTATTCGATTGGCAAATAGATTGTTACCCAATGTCACAATTTTTAATACAAATATGGACCCAAAAGTATCTCTATGATTTCGATAATCAATTATTCCTTTTCGAGATTTATAGAAGCTAATGGTTTTCTTTCAGACCATCCAGAAATTCATAGGCTTTGTAGTTTTACATTAAGAAAGAAAAAATTAATACAAAAAAGTCTAATTAAAGTATATTTATTGATTTTCAAAATCAACTAGAGATTTTTTGCTCCACCCTATATTAAATATTACAATGTTACTTATTGGCCAATTCAATAATTGTGATTTTTAAATCATCCAGAAATTTTTGATCCATCTGTTGGCCATCATGTATAATAAAGAAAAATCACGATAAATCTAACGCCGATGAATTCGTTATATCTTATTTATTAAAAAACAAAAACAAAAAAATTAAAAAGAAATATGTCAAAAAAATATTAACGTTAAAAAGATTGTAAAATTATAATCTAAAGATTTAATAAACATAAACGATTAATAAGATGCGAATATAGTAGGATTAATTAAAAATAAAAATAAGAAGTTAAATGTTTTTTTACGCGACAGTAAAGTTACATAGAAAAATATTCTTTGGAAGATATAATTAAAACATTTTAGAAGAAACACATTAAGAAATAATCATATACATATATATACATACATAGTATATAAATATTATATAGATATATATATTATATGCATATCTATATTCGTATGTATATAATTATTTAGAGATAAATTTATTAATAATTAAATATAAATAAATTGACTGCCACAGTAATTTTAATATAATAATTAATTATTTCATATTTAATAATTAAATAGAATTGTACTCTTAACATTGTAAATTTTCAATGACATGCGATTGCTCCTATAAATCCGAAAGTTGGCCAAAAATATAAAATTAATGGCGTAAAATCTAAATCTACAAAAGAAATAACAAGGGAACACAAATATTGCATTAATAATTCACACCAGTCATAAAATTTAATTTTTGTTCTATATGTTGGTTAACTTGTGAATCATTAAAGATCAAAGTAGTCACTAATAATCGAAATATTAATTATTACTTATATTATAAAAAAAAAAAAAAGAAAAACTAAAAATAAATATTAATTCGTCACACATTCATTTTGATAAATTAGTAATAGAAACGATAATTTTTAATAAATATTCTTAATAGTTTCACAAATCACTAATGCAATTTTTCTATTCATTTGTATAACTAGAAAATAATTTTATTCGATGTCACTTGATATATAGATTAATTGATTCTTGAATTAATAAGAAATTGTTACACCATGAAGTCACCAAGAAATTAATTAACAGTGACATGAAATAACACTGTGGCAATCAATTTGTCAAAAAATTTTCAAAAAAAAAAATTACGCTTATTTGAAACCACGACGATGATTAAAAGAAGAAAATTTCTTAAAAGAAAAAGAAAACAAAAGATCGTTTAGATTGCGCTTTAAAACAAATTCACGATATTTTTTCGAAATCTCAATAGTTAGAAAAATGCGAAGGAAAAAGAAAAGAAAGGATTGCGATTTTTTGATATCGTCACAATGGCTTTTTCAAGAGAGTCCAAACAAATCCACTCTAGACGATTATTGTCACAAAGTATCGAACTTATCAAACGAATTGACAACTAATTATGAAAAATAAAAAAGAAAAAATGAACATAAAGCGGCATTAACACAGTACTTCTTTGGTTCCTTCCATTTTGCTCGCTCGAAGGTCACCGTTCGACTGTTCGTCTAAGCACGAACTATTCCCGACGTAAACTACGTAGGAAAAGGGGTTGAAATTGGTTGGCTGAATAGTTCATGCGATTAACGAAAAAAAAAAAAAGAAAAGAAAAGAAAATGTGAATACGAGTCAGTTTTTGCGTCCGTTTCGAACTGTATAAAAGGTACGGACCAAAAAAAAAAAAAAAAAAAAGAAATGAAAAGGGGTGAGTCGTCAACGGACGAAGTCGACTCAACAATAATCGATCAACATTTGGCAGACGGTGTTTTGCATTAATCATTTTTATCTACCCCTTTCTCTAAGTACAATATACCTTGTCTACTCTTTTTTTTTTGGGACTCTATATCCGTCGAAAGTTTCTACGTAACGCCCTCGTGAATATTTTTCCAGCAAAAAGGGAAACAGCGTGGCTCAGTATTATTACGGAATAGAAAAAAAAAAAATTGAAGGTTATCCAAGTTTTTAAGTAGTTGAATTCTACCCTTTCACGAGTCTTCTTCTTGTCAGTTATCTTCTAATCGATCGTTATGAAGTGTACAAAAAAATATGCTACTGCATCGGACGCTATTAGAATGGAATTGTTGAAGATCATTGGGGTTGTTTCTGAAAATAACAAAAATTATTAATAAATGCAATTTGTATATAGGACATTTTCATGTGAAAAATGATTAATTACAAGCATAAAGGACTTACTGAAATTATTATTTACCAAAGTGAATTTTGTTTTATTATGCCAAAGAATGTAACTTTAAAATGTTATGTTACACGAGAGATCGATTACGGTGAAAATGCATAATTGATTAATAATTATCGATGACAATAAATTGAACGTTCAAGTTTATTATTTCTTACGTTAAAAGAAGCACGTACATAGGTATAATCGTATGCAACGTACACAGATACACATATTATTCTCAGCCATCTCAAAAATATTATTAATTTGCAAATTATTACTATATATGTATTATAAATTAAAGAAAAATAAAGGAAGAATAAAGAAAATAATGTAGGATGTTACGACATAAAATATGCCTGATAATAGCATGTTAAACTTAACAAATACACGGCCAATTACAGCTATGCTTCTGATTCAAACGTGAATTAGTAAACTACATCATTCCTCTTAATGCATCTCAAAGAATATTTCAGTTTTTTTCTCGAACTTTCGATAATAAACAACATTGTCTGTAATCGTAATTTCGATTATCATCATTGAATGCACCGTATGCGTCACATTTTGAACCTAAGTTTCATTCTAAACACCGAACGAGGCACGAAAATGTCCGAAACAATCGTCGCGCTAGGATATACGGGTGAGTCAAGAGCATTCGTTAGAAAATGATTAGAACGTTACGAAGATATATAGAACAAATCGATGATTAATCGGATCGTCGCACGTAAGCGAAAATTGTCATAAGCTTGTACTTATTTATGAGCGTTACGAGTGGCGAAAAAAATGTTGAAAAATTACAAAAATAAGGAAAGAAAAGAAATGCCATAGTCGGCATTCATTAATCATTGGTAGTTCTTTTTTCCGAGAAAAATGAAGATTGCATTTTACAGAAGGACAATGAACCGGAAAATCGAGAGCCAAATCTGTACCGTCTGGAAAGTGAAATCTGATTCGTCAATCGGTTGCAATGGCCGTTGCAATCGTCCGATGCTAATTCACGTCAAAAAAAATTTCTAAACGTATATGAAGCAAAGATTTCGTGGGAGACGATTATTCAAATCGTAAAGCAATTAATTCGACAGATTCGTCGAATTTTGGATGACCTTATCATACGAATTACATTATCGACCTGGTACAAAGTATATCTCTGTGATGACAGTCGATTATCGACGCTACTGTCGACTGAACTTCACTATCGATGTAAATTACTTTTCGATTCGAAGCACAAAGTATGTACGTATATATTTTACAAGTTTTATTATAGCAAATTTTTTTTATTAATTAAACACAACGAAGACATTTTTAATAGTATCGACTATAGTTCTATAAATTTCACAAATGGAATATAATTAGAATAGAATTTTGCGATTTCTTATCTAATTATTAATACAAAATTTTAATATCGGATTGATCAAAAGTTTCGTTATTTCGACATTAATAATATTTTCTATATGGAAAAATTTTCGAGTACTCAAAAAATTGCATAAATTATCTAAACAATTCTTTGCTCAGAAGGATGAGAAATTTTTGGAAAATTGAAATAATAAAGTTTTGACTGAAAAATTCCAGAAGATGATGGAATTAAAACTTTAAATACAATTTCAATAAAGTTATTTGTGTCACCATGAAAAGTGTGTTGCGTATTTATTTTTTCTTTTTTTTTTTTTTTTTTTTTTTTTACTTATAAACAGAATGATTATTTTGATAAATACCGAAATAACATTAACCTTATGTTTATTAATCTAAATAACGTGATTGTATGCATTCGTTACAAACTATCTATTTAACATTTGTACAGAAATAGCAGATATATTTCAACAGTTATTATTCACGATTAATTATTAAATAGTTTCGCTTATAGAGCCGTCCGTAAAAACGATAAGTATGCCATTGATTTATTCAGTATCTGTAAAATTGATAAAAAAATAATAGAATTTAATCCTTTTGAACATCAAAATTATACAAAACTTTAAACCATCGAAAATATTCAAAATTGAAATTGAAATCAATAAATAAAAACGAATCAACGAAGTGCAATATCTTTTTGCAAAAGTAAACAAAACATACAAATGATACATAGAAGAAAATATTAAGAAAAATATTTCATTTAGAATTTCATATATGACGAAAAGTTAATTAATGAAGACGTACATGGACGAACAAATAAAAATATAAATTTCTAAAGAGAAACGAAAACTCATGGAACGCTGATGAATACCATATGAAAAAAAAAAAAGAAAAGAAAAAAAAAATTGACACGATATAATGATGAAAGTGAAATATAAGGAAAGAGAAAAAAAAAGGAACAATTAAAGAGATGTCAATTAACACTAGATTGTCCAAGGAAGTCATTTTGACTTCTTTTTAATTTCAATTAGAAAAACAATTATGTATATAATGACACAATTTCTTAGAATTTTGTGACTTTTTGTACAACATATAAATGCGTTTATTAATAATTGTAGTTACCTCCCCCCTCCTTCATTTCCGGTATACATATATATATATATATGTGTGTGTGTTATACCCATATTGCCCAAAAGCAGTCAAAATGACTACTTGGGAAATTTTAAATAATCAAATGACTCTTATTATTGAATTGAGTAAATTTCTTATATTACCAGTTCGGCTCTGTATTGAAATAACAGTTTTCATTTTTTTTTCGATTACCGTTACATGATAACATACAAGTACATGATAAATCGTCGACTTGGGCGTATACATGATAAGTTGCAGTTGATCAATAAGCTAAAGTAATACTTGTTATTTGAAATCTTTATGCAATGATACTTGTTCTAACAAGTTGTTTATTTTATTTCTTTTGCACCCTAAATTCATGAAAGAAATGGAGAATAGAAGTGAGTTATTGGAAATGCTAACGAACATAAGTGAAGAGTGCTTCGATCTAGAATCAGATGCAACAAATTCTGAACTATCATCTGAAAATGAAGCGGATTATATTCAAAGTGAAACATCCTGACACTGAAGATAGCGATGAAGAGTCGATCACCAATGATGAAAATGAAAGTGTCATCAATATGTCCAGG